CTTGTATAATATGTACCCTTGTTAAAATCAGGTATAATATGTGAAGATAATAGAAAAAGGATAAGAAAGTTAAACATCTCTTTGGCTTGATTTTTAAACTACCATTTTTCACATTTTTCACTGATAAAACTTGTCTGGTCATTTCATTTTCCACACTATTTCAATAGCACTTTATATCATTATACAGCACCCAAAAGTATAAAATGAAATTTACTATTTTAAAAGTGAAATTTGAGTTATTTTGTTTATAGTTTGTTCAAGAGAGATTAAAATGTTTACTTGCTGCTCTTTTTGTTTTTATCATTACTGGAACTACTACTGCCAGAACTAGTTAACCTAAAAGTGCTGCCAGATGGTGAAGAAGAGAGTGGGAAGGTTAGCTCTAATATGTTCAGCGAAGTCTGAGAAGCAGAACTCCTAGACGACCTAGAAGAAATTACAAAATTATTGTAAATTTAATTCAAAATTTATACTTTAATAAAGACCCCTCATTAATAGTGAAAGATACCATAATCACACAACTAAAGAGAGCAAAAAGTTTTAATAGTATTAATAATAAATTTTAAAGCATGACCTTTAATATCAAAAAATTAGTTTTTTTAAGGAAAAGGTAATGAACATAATAGTTTCAAACCAGTAAAAAAAATAGTTTAGCAAATATGATTAATAAAGAAAAATGTTTTCAGCTATAATTAACTTAAAGATTTGCAGAATTCATTAAACAAAAGGTAACAAAAAGGCATGGGCATATGGGTGCTGGCAAAGTGAGTAAATGATAGGTTATATAAGAGAAGAAAGTGAGTGTCCTGGTGGCATCATTTGAAAATCATTACTAGCTACATAGTTCTGAAATGCTAAGTTTAAAAATATAGCCCTGACGGATGTGGCTCAGTGGTTAGAGCACCGGCCTGTACACTGAAGGGGCTCAGATTTGATTCCTGGTCAAGGGCACATACCTAGGTTACAGTTTCGATCCCTGGCCCTGGTTGGGAAGGAGGCAACTGATCAGTGTGCCTCTCTCACCACCCTCCCTTCCACTCTAAAAAGTCTGTAAAAAATATCCTTTGGTGAGAATTTACAAAATATATTTTTGTATATAATTGTAAATTACATGCACGTGGCGGGGTAACTCAGTTATAAGTGTCTCATACACCAAAAGGTGGCATGCTTGATTCCTGGTCAGGGCACATACCTAGGTTGCAAGAGGCATCTAGTCATTTCTCTTCTCAAATCAATAAAGATACCCTCAGGTGAGAAATAATATATATGTGTGTGTGTGTGTGTGTGTGTGTGTGTGTGTGTGTGTGTGTATACATATATATATATATATAATGTTTTATGACAGTATAGGGATGTTCAAGTGGCTGCCCACCATGTTTATGTAAAAACAGTTTATTTTTATTTAAACCCCACCTTTTAGGACATTCCTTTGTCTCTGTGAAATCCCTACATGGACTAATGAAAACTAAGTGGCTGCTGAAGGTAGGAGATTGGAAATTTAAAAGTTAGGATCATTGTTAATTTTTATTTTGTCAGCAAAGCAGTGTTGATTGAACATCCCTGATGATAGAATTCTAGATAACACTAAACTGAAAGTAAAGAGTAATTTCCTGTTTAGCAAATTAAATGAACACAAATCAAATCCTGAGTATTTAAAATTTTGCAGTGTGGTTTTAATAATATACTTAATATCTCTATATCTAAGTTGCCCTTTTATGGTTAAAAATCCTCCCTCCATCAGGGTTGGTCATGCTAGATGTAACCTCTAAAATTTCACCCTGCTCTACCCTACTGAAATAGGTGGTGGTCACAAAGCACTCTGTGCAGTAATGCAAAGAGAGTGGAAAGCAAGTTGCTCTGCTGGCTGTGTCTGCGTCTGTGACACTGACCTCGGCAGGTGGGCGAGGAGGAGAGCACTGGCAGATCCAACCGCTGTGGCAATGTGGGAGTGGCTGGGTGCACTGAGGGTAGCAGCGTGAGCGTTGGGGACGTGGTGGTTTAACCTTCCACTTACCTTAGTGACAACAGTGAAGCCTGTGAAGGAGATCTCTGCCGCCCGTGTTTGGTCCTAGCTGTAGGGAGTTCCAGACCTTTCTGAAAGTACATTGAATGGCAGTCATTAGTACCACTGCGTTTTAGAAGAATATTTGTGATTAGATTTCACTCTGATGAATGCCATAAATTATTTTCATGAAGTGTTTAAGAAACACTTCTAACTAGAAGGAACAGTGACTACCTGTTGAAAGTATGCTTGAAGGATAACGTGGATCTCGGCGTTTGCTGTGACATCAGCTAGCATTCCATCAATGACCTGGTGAAACTGTTTCAGTTCGCGAAGTTTGATGTCTCCTTCTTCTAGTGTTTCCTCTTTTGTTTCTTTCAAAAGACGGATCTCTTTAATGAGTTTTGCACACTGTTGGTCAACGGTAGTCAATTATTACTTAAACCTGTTTCCAGAACTTAATGTTTTTTCATGGATGAAAGGATTTGGGTTTACCATTTGGAACTTCAAAAAAATGTAAATATGACAGGTCAGATTTTTTAAAAAATATCAATACCTGTTTAGTTACTCTCTCTAATTTTGGCTTCTGCTCCTCAATTTCTTTATTTAGTTGAAGTGAATAAGCCTGCTTCTCCGATAATTTTTCTTTGCCATTATGTGTTAAATGTTCTATAATTTCTAAAGTATTTTCCATGGTCTGCAGAAAAAAAAAATTATTAAAATATTTATTAATTAGAATCAAAAGTAACATAACTTGCTATTTGTCAAATATTCATTTAATCTTGATTCATTTACATTTGTATATAACATATTCAGGTAAATAACATATATAATGACTTTATAATTAAATTTTGTATGTAATTCTACTGGAAAGTATTTTTATGGTACTTGGAAAAATAAATAATTTAATAACTATTGAAAACATGCATGCAGTTTTCAGAGATTCACAATTCATTGATTCCTTCAACTTTATTAGCAAAAAAAAAAAAAAAAAATCTGAATTGTATGTAGAGCCTGCTTACCAAGCACATTGTTTTCTCTTTCAGTAATGTGCTTTAGCACCTTCTGTGTACTAGTTTATTTTTATCTTTTGAATTTTTGTTTTATGAAACAATCTTTAACGAATTAAATGAAAATAAGAGTACATTAAATAAAAGATAGAGGAATAGATCATAACTAACTAGCAATGAATGATTCAACAACTAACAAGTGATGATTTGGAGTCCATCCTATGTTTAACACTGGGATTTTAGCTATTTTAATGCTTTTAATCACTTTTTTCCTCATTTTAATGAGACATCTCATCTATTTTTCTAAAAAAAATTATGGGGTAAGAAAATAGACATAATATTAGTTTATTTCTACTAAGGGCTTATGACTAAAGCCTGTAGAATTACCTGGATGTCTTCCTGTAGCTCTCTAATTTGTCTTTGTTTGTATCTGTATTTTTCATCAGCAACTCTTTTCTGTTCTTCTAGTTGGATTTTTAGTCCATACTCATCACCTAAAATTTAGGCAATTTGTAGTTTAAATTTTTAAGATGTTCTGTAGAAATCAATCTTAAAATCTTACATATATATAATTTCTAACATTTCTTCTTATGAAAAGTTAAATTCCTATGTCTACTTGTTGAAAAACAGTATGGGCATATGTAGCAGCCACTCTTGTTTAGTCAACACAGGGAAGCTAATGTGCTATTTTCTGTGGATTTGAAATTAATCCCCTAGAGAAGTGATATGTTGTATCATTAGAACTACTAGTAATAATGGAAATAACACTTTAGCACTTATTTTAAAAGGGGGTGGTTTTTCTGACTCAATCAAACAAGTTCACTTTTGTTTGCCATTGCTCAGTGTTCCTTTTTTAAAAACAAGTAACTACAGTTCTCATTGCATATATTCATTAAAATGTTAACTCCTACATACTAGATGGTGTCACTTTTTTAAAAGATTGTTTGAAATTGTTGTTACAACTGTTCAGCACTTGTAAGGTGTTTTCTAGAGCATAGATTTCTTTTTCAGCTTTGTTGATCTTAGCATCCAAACTGTCACCTTCCTTTTGAAGTTCTTCTTTTTCTTGAGCAGCCTGTAAAAACAGAATAGAATGACTAAATAATAGTATTTCTCAGGGGGGAGAAGGACTGTTTTTAGGACAGATCATAGTTAACTCACAACAATATCAATTTGCCTTGAGGTCCATATAAAGCACCATTTATTTCTTTCATTTGATTTACAGAAGAGCAAATCCTCAAGGCCTACAAAATATAGCACATAGGATACAAAACAGTAATGGAAACACAGTAACTAACCAAAGCTTACATTAAACTCGCCAACAAAAATTACCAAAATGTCAAGCAGGTATAAACTTCACTGGGAAGGGAACGAGTTAACTAAAAGGAGGTTTCAAAGCAGATTTTAAATAGAATATATTTCTGGCCTAAAAGAAACTTAGGAACACTTTCTCCTTTTATATCATAGAGAGGAGTAAAAAAAGAGGTGAGACAAGGCACACCCAGAAAAGTAAATGCTTGTCATTCCCAAGCCAGTTGTGGTTATATGTGTTAATAGGAACAGTATTTCAACATTTTGAGCAATTAGTAATGTTAAAGTTAGAGAAAGTACTCATTTTAGTAGCGCAAACTTAATTTGAAACACTATAGAGGTTAGAATGACACCTACACCAAGAATGACATTCAAATTTGTGAAGTGTTCCGTATTTTCAAAAGGAAAAATATTGCATTGTATGATTCCACTTACATGAAGTACCTAGAGTAGTCAAATTCATGGAGTCTTAGAGTAGAATGGTGAATGCCAGGGTTTGGTGTAGGGGGAAATGGGGAATTACTGTTATGTGAGTACAGTTTCAGTTTTAGAAGGTGAAACAGTCTGGAGATTGGTAATGGTGTTAGTTGCACAACAATGTCAATATAATACCACTGTACACTTAAAATTGTTAAATGGCAAGTTTTATGTATTTTACCACATTTTAATTTTTTTAATTAGAGAAAGATAATTGTGATAAATGTGGGTAGAGAAAATGAAGTTTACTAATTGTTGGAAACCAGAAATTCCTCAGTGAGTGGACATATTCGTGATTTTTTCCATCGTACCTCTGTCACAGCCAGGCTCTCTAGAGCTGTACCCTAATAATTCCAAAAGAACTGCTCCAGGTAAGGGTTACCAGGGCATGTATATATATTTAAAAGTACTCAAACCCATTCTTAGTAAAAAATGGTTAATTTACTCAATCCCTAGGTGTGTGTATTTAAACCAGAAGATGGTCATTGGAAAAAAATGTTTGATAATGTTTCAATTTTTAATGTTTTCTCTGATATTTGTTTTATTATGCTACCAAAATATGTATAACTACATATTAGTACATAATAAAATAGTTCATAATGAAAAATAATAGCAAGTAGTACATAGTCAAAAAGCTTAGCAAAAAAAATAAAGTTTTAGATAAATTATATCTAATTCCTTTAAACCAAGTCTAGAATTGGCAATGATTCATTCAAAGAACAGTGTAGTGTGAGAGCTAGAACAAATCAAAACAGCTAGAATTTAGTTGCAAATGTCCTACTAGTGAGCTGAATAACATTAAATAATTCCCTTCTCTTGAGTTCAGTTTATTTGTCAAATGAAGGGGTTGAATTTGTTCATTTATACAGATTTCTGATTTAATTCCACATATAACTTAAACTTCTAAAACTCTGATCCCATTTGCCTCTAAATCAAGCTTATCTAATGTATACCTTTTATCCTGGATTGGAAAAGCTGATATTTGGAAGAAATTTTTATTTATGCATTTATGTCCACATTTTTAACATTTTCCTAATTTTACTGGACAGTTTCATTAAAATGTCAGAATTGAACTGCCTTACAAAAAGACTAAGAGGAACTTAAATATGAGATTTGAAAGATGCTAGTCCTTCATTGGTTACTGATCATACTTTTCACTCTAGCTCTTAAGAGTCAGATACTATAATGTGCCAGGATGGGTAAAAGGAAGAGCAAAACCATGTGTGCCCCATAGACAAGAACCCATTGCAGGACCAAAAATAAGGGCAATAGATTGAATTGTTTCCCCTAAAACAGATTTGAAGTCCTAAACTCCAGTACTTAAAAATGTGACCTTATTTGGGAAAAATAGGGTCTTTGCAAATGTAGTCAGGTTACCATGAGGTCATGAAGGTGGTCCCTAATTCATAGGATTGGTGTCCTAATAAAAATGGGGTATTTGGACACAGATACAGACATTCTTAGGGAAGACTGACGAGAGGGCACCATGTGAAAATGAAGACAGAGATCATGGTGATGCTTCCAGAAGCCAAGGAACACCAAAGATTGCCAGCAGACGTGTAAACATTCTCCCTCAGCCTTTAGAAGGCACCAACCATATTGGTATCTTTATTTCAGACTTCTAGCCTCAGAACTGAAGACCATAAAAACTGCCTTTGTCATACTTGTCATGGCAACTCTAGCAAACTAATACAAGGGCTCAGAAAACTGCATATCCTGGGTGAGACAGTACATACTTTAGGCTTTATGGACCATTACATCTCTGTCAAAACTACTTGTACTTAATACACTGCTATTGTAGTTTGAATGCAGCCATAGACAAGACTATAATTGAATGAGGTGATGTATTATGTGTACCGCACAAATGTTGGGCAGCATTTAGCTCAAAGCCATGTGTACCCCTGCAATACACCACGCAGGACACAGAACAGTGGTAAGCATTGTGACCAAATCCCTCTTCCATCAGTGCTGTAAACGTATGTATATGTGCCCATCAGGAAAGATCAACCTGAAGGATATAAGGAAGAGAATCTTGATTTGACTAAATTAACATTCCTATATCTACCACATTCCATAACAAAAGTGACAGTTCTAATTGGCAAGTTCAAGTTTTTTACAGTAGTAAATTGCTAAAGTATTTTCAAAAAGTTAAAATATTCTCAAATATAAAATGAACATGTCAAAGATTTTATTCAACTCATTAATGAAAGAACCCATAAGATATTAGACAAGTTCAAAGGGAGAAGTTGAACCGCTTTAATATACACAAATGCTGAAATAAATTTGCCTGTATATGAAACTATACCCTTTAGGGCAACAAAATGTAATGCTTGGGTTATCTTTCCTATAGAGTTTAATCAGTTGTATTTCTACTAGCCAAGATTCATTTGCATTGTGGACAGCTCTCAGTTTTCTACAAGTTAACATCTGTCCCTACAGAGTTATAAAGTAGATTAGTCAATAAAAATCTGTTGAAGGTGTACCTTCCTACAGAATCAAATAACCCTGGAGGGCCCGCTAGAAAATGCCAAGTCTGGTATTGCCACGCGGTAGCATCACTGCACACCTACAGATTGCTTTTCCCATTTTCAGGCAACTGATAATTTTTCTCAACATAAGACACATTGAGTATAGTTATAAAGAAATGTTTCATTTTTACACATCCAGTACACGTGAAGTGTTATGCATAAAACATGTAAGGATGCTACACGAAGAAAAATGGGAATAAGATAGCAGACAACTCTCAACCATCAGAACAGCAGATTCACCTGTTCATTTGTCCCTACCTAATATGAAGGACAGCCCCTCTTACTCTCTGGATCTCTGCCATACCAGGACTGCAATGGTAAATTGGGGTATAAGATTTCAGAAGTGGTGTAACTCCAGGCGATTGTAAGGTCTAGAGGAGTGATGGTAGATTTTAGGGTAAAAACAATTAAGAATTTTGAATAAATGAGGAGAAACGACAGGATGCAAAGATGCAAAAAAAAAAGTGTCAAACAGTATTCTAGAACTCTGACTCATGGACTGGAGTAGTATAAAACTAATAGAGCTTCAGTATTTAAATTAGCAACTAATGCTTTATGGCCCTAATTAAGAGCAATGGTTCCAGACTGCTATGAAATTTGAAATTTCATGGGAAAAAAATGCCATTTTGGTTGTTAACAAAGAAAGGATACTTCTTTCTATCACAACAATAAATTGATCACGCTTACCTTTATTACATAATAGGCCTGTGTTTTCTCCTCTTCTCCTTCAGGAGGCAGCATAACAACAGTAAGAATTTCATATCTATTCTTCAGTTTATCAATTTTACTTAGCCGCTCATGAAACTCAGCACTAATATGGAAAGTAAAGAAAAATTAAACACTGGAAAACAAATACTATTTTTAAAAGAACTATATTGTTCTCATGGAAAACAGCTGTATTTGGATTACTACTGTACTCAAATTAAATGTTTTCACTTTTCAGTTTTATAATTCAGTGTGAAGGGTTTCAGATTTTACCCTATTTGAAAGATAAGTGCCACAGTTTCGTGGATGCTAGCAGAGTGGAGGGGTAAATGGGGAGTTAATGCTTAATGGATATAGTTTCAGTTTTACAAGATGAAAAAGTTCTGAAGATCTGTTGCACAACAATGTGAATATACTTAACATTACAGAGCTGTGTGTTGAAATATGGTTAAGATGCTAAGTTTTATGTGTTTTTTACCAAAATAAAATTTTAAGATAGTCTAGGATAGTTAGTGTCCCTCCTGACAAAGCTTGCAGAAATATGAGAAATCCATGTTTTAGATTCCTAAATTTGCTGGTTAAATTTTTCCTTTTATTCCAGTAAATTTACATTTTATGAACTATTTTTAACTTATAACAATACTAATAACATTCATATATGCATGGAGGGTGACACATTTGCCTACTACAACCACATGAAAGTGGTCACCCAACCATGCTGAAAGGAAATCCGCAGTTTTCCTACTCCTAAAGAAAACTGATGGTAAAACATTAATATCAGAAGTTACAGTTTTGCTTATTTTTAGGTATTACTCTTGTTTCATCAGAAAATATTTATTCATCCTTTATATGATTATAAAAGACAATACTTGGCCTTCCAGCTTAAGATGGTAGACTAAAGCACAAGTATATTTCTCCTTCCTAAAATGGAAGACTAAAAGGAAAAAGAAAAAAATAAATAACAGCTCTGGGAACAAGAAAGACAATTTTTTCATGAATTCACTGAAAACAAATGGGAGCCCTAGCCAGTGTTGCTCACTAATTGGAATATTGGCCCATGCACCAAAGGGTCACAGGTTCAATTCCTGGTCAAGAGCACATACCTGCATTGTAGGAGTCCTGGTCAGGGCAGGGGCAGGAGGCCACCAATG